CGGGCGTCCCTGTGTGCGCAGCGCTGTCAAGTTAAGCGCGTGTTTTGTGAGGTAGATTCCGGGCGCTGCTAGGCCAGGTCTTTCCTTAAAGCCGGTGTTGTAGTCTGTGTTTGTTAGTGTGGAAAGAGTTTGCTGGAGGCAGAACTTTTATCGTTGTAAACTAGAAGATGTGAAGGTAAGTTCTTTGGTCTCTTAAATTATGCCAAAATGCACAGTTGGCATGTTCCATAAAGGATGTATAAGTCCTTTGAAAGTGTCCAGAAATGGCGCCGTAGTGTGTGGTGCACAGCACTGAAGTCGGTCAGGTGTCCCATCTTTGTGCAAAAGATGCTCTGTGGAGACTGCATTAGGGCTTTGGATAACTGGCAACTGAATATGTGGAGGAGGTGGGGTAGGGCAGCGAGGCTTGTGTTAAATTCAGGTTTTATTACACATTAATGTTTATCATGTGCTATTTCTGAAGAAGGTGGGTTTTTAAGAGTCTCTTCCCTGTAATTTAGAGCAAAGAAGGTGCCGGCTGTTCCGGAAACTCTGCTGAAAAAGCGCCAGGCTTATGCAGCCATAAAGGCCAAACGTCTGAAGAGGCTGTTGGCCCAAAAGAAGGTGAATCTCTTATGTCTTTTTTACATGAGTTGATTATCTTTTCTGTGGGCAAGTCACTGGAATGCTACTGCTTCTGATATAAAGCGTTAGAGAAGTATTTTGGGTCTGGCAAGTTGGTATTTTCTTAGCGTTTTGGTGTAAAACAATGATTGGGTGGTGGTGGGGGAAAGTGTGTAATGAACTGGTTGTGGGTGGAATGAATGACAAGTGTACAATTGTTTAAAGTGAATTACCTGCAAGGCAAGAGATTGTGTGAAGGTAAATGTAGTTTATAAAGATACCATGTTTGATGTAAAAGAGAAAATGCTACAGTATTTGAAGCTACCTCTGTTGTGTTCAAAGACACTGTGAAATCTTAAGGGACTTCCAACTGTTTCAGCTTCGTAAGGCACAAAGGAAGCTCATCTATGCAAGAGCCAAAGCTTACCACAAGGAGTACAGGCACATGTACAGACAGGAGATCCGCATGGCCAGGATGGCCCGAAAAGCTGGGAATTACTATGTACCAGCCGAACCAAAGCTGGCCTTTGTGATCAGGATAAGAGGGTAAGATTTAATACAGCTGGGGACACTTTTCTGTATAAAAACAGTGGAGGTGCTGTTGCTGTTATCCTTCTGTTTTGAGGACTTGCATAGGTAGATAAATCTGAGCTTTCCACTAGTAGGTTGGAAGGTTTTTGGGAATAATGTCAAATATGTACCAGAGAATAACTTCATTAAGTCTAAAATTGTGATGTCCGTGTGTTTCTCCCTTAAGAAACCTGGTAAAAAGGGCAAGGTTGCAAAAGTGAGACAGCTGTTTGGTTTCACCTTAAGCTTGATAAAATTATATACTAGTTCACAGTAGCATTAAGTTTTTCCCAAGTGCTCCGTTAAATGCTTCGTTAAATGTGTTCTGGAGAGCCTTCCAAGAAACTCAGGAAAGACATGATTGGAAGAAATATATTTGGGAGAACACAAGGATAGGTAGTTCTAAAAAAATATTTCAAAGTATTTGTTGTTTAAGTTCTTTCTATGAAGTTAGATCAGGCCTAAGCTTTCAGCTGAAATATATAGGGATACCAGATAGTAACTTGCTGCCAACACTTGCTTCCTGTAATTTATAGGATGTAAGATGGAGCAATTCTATTGCTTATCTTAATCTGCTTTTGTTTTGATGATATGAGCGAATTTATAGGATGTAAGATGGAGCAATTGCAATAAGTAATTCTATTGCTTATCTTAATCTGCTTCTGTTTTGATGATATGAGTATTTTATGAGCTGTAGACTTTTAAATGAGACTTCTCTGCTTTCTAGCACCAACGGCGTTAGCCCCAAGGTCCGTAAGGTGCTGCAGCTTCTTCGCCTGCGTCAGATTTTTAATGGCACGTTCGTAAAACTCAACAAAGCTTCTATCAACATGTTGCGGATTGTGGAACCCTACATTGCCTGGGGGTGAGTGAAGTGGTCAGTTTGGGGGTGTCAGCTTGGAATGTAAGCTGCAGGGTTGGTAATTCCTGTTTTCACCTGACCATTGTTTCAGTTATCCCAACTTGAAGTCCGTGCACGAGCTGATCTACAAGCGTGGTTATGGCAAGATCAACAAGCAGCGCATCGCTCTGACAGATAATTCCCTGATTCAGAAGCGCCTGGGTAAATACCGCCTCACTTCAAAAATGTGTAGATTCTGAACAAGTGCATTTTCAGTCTTTTCTATTATTTGTAGTTTTCAACGTGAAACTGATATTTAAGTTAATATATTCTTCAGTAATGAGCCAGGTACTGCAATGAGAATGTCATCATTAGCAGCCTTGAAGTTGCTAATTTAGATACTGCTTGCATCTTGTATTTTCAATGCTCTGCTGGACTGACTTTGATTCCTATCAGGACAACTAATCAGTGGGGAGAAAAAGCTAATATAAAATTGCACGTGCGCACACACACACACATACACACACACAGTTTTAGGGAGGCTCCTTCTTTTCCAGCTATGTTGGCAAGAAAACAGTGAAACCATTTTGCTTGGTGCTTTTCCAGTGCAGTAGGTGGTCAGATTCTGACAGTACCAGCATAGTACTGGCAGGTCTGTATCTGAATCACCTGCCTTCATAAAACTGTTCACTCAGGTGCCATGTCATGAAAGACTGTAGAAAGGCATTAGCCCAAAAGCTTTCTGAATTATTCAGTAGCATAAATATTTAACTGAATTTCGCTGACC